CTATTATATTTTTAAGTAATGTATCTATTAAAAAAAGGATAAAGATGGCATAATTAAGTTGTACAAAGGTATCTAACAGGCAGAAGAAAGCATCTCCAATCCCATAAATATTACTTATAGCTATCAACACAATTAATTTGCTTCCTTTACAATCAACTCGTGACACGCGCGCATCTCTAGCTGGACACACCTTTTGGACTAGCTGGCGTCGGGGCGGAGTGTGCTATCTGACAATGGAATCGAGCAAATTCTTGTGTCCTGCCGACCAATTGTGGCCGGCAAATGGCGCCCAACGTTCCTTAAGCACTTGCCAGACACTTCCGGCGACTGCACTTGAGCAGCAGAATTCCCAACCTTTCTTGAGCCAAATTAAAGCTGGACGGCGTTTCAGATGTGTTTGCTTTTTAAAATATATTTTTATATTTTTTGATAACTTTTAGAAACTGCAACTGTAGTAATGCTGGAAATTGGTTAAAAGCCTTGTCACAAACTCTTCAGCATTTGAATCGGGTACGAACGCAAATGCAAATCGTAAAACAAAGTACAACCCAACGTTGACATTTCACTTAGCGAAACGGATAGAGAACGGTTGGTCGGTGCAGGAGGCGTGGCAAACACACAATCATATATGTATGTATTCGCTTAAGTCCCCTAGGGGGTGCACACGAAAGTTGTTTAGAAATTCATTGGGCCAAAACTTGTTTGCCTGTTCAGTAGTTCTTGTCTTTATGTCTTTTACTCTCCCCTCTCGCTCGCACTCCTCTATTTATTCAGAGTTATAGCGTGTGTCGAGACGACAAATAAATATTTGGACAGCAATTTCATGCAACGTGCTGGCCAAAAGAGTAAAAAAAATAAAGCGAAAAAAGAAATTAAATTGTTGATTTGAATTTGCCACACACCAGGGAAACCAAAGAAGGCAAACCGCCAAACTCAAGAGCATCGCCAAGCAAATTCAAGTCACATTGCATTTATTTATAAGCACTACGCCTTGACTGAGTTGCCGGAAGCCCAACTACTTTTCTGCGTTGCCAGCTGCGCGTGAGAGCAACAGTCTCCGTTTCACGCTGCATTTGTTGTGCACCCAGTAAAAATGAAATAAAAACTTATGAAATGAAATCCATATATATATATGATTTCGGTGAATATAGATTTTCTTAATACCCGTTTTTCGAACATAACTTAAACACCTCTCTTATCCATAAATTGATATTAAAAATTGTTGGGTATCTTTTTGTCCAGCACAGCTTCGATTTGTTTATTTCTGTTTGTGTCAACTAACTGGGGACGCCACCTAGCGGTCAACTTGGGAAAATGTCAACTTCATAGTGGATTCCAAAAATTTTATTTGCATACTAAAATGTCAAGCGGCAAAGTGAACCATAACTAAGGAAATGACAAAGACCACTGCCACTGACAGAGTGAAAAAAAAGAAACAGATAAGTTGCAAGGGGACAGGAGATGAAGAATTGGACATTCTGACAGCACGCCATTTTGACCCATGGCAATTTCCGTACAGAGGCAGCACACGACAAAAATTGTAGAGTATGTCAGTTGCTGTTGTTTTTATTCTTTGGCCAAACTCGATGGCAAAAAGTTAAAAGTTTAATTGTGCGCAACGCTTAAATGCAACGCTGGACAGCCAGGAAAACAGGATGTGCGAGGTGGGGGCGGGTGCTGTGAGTGCAGCATCTGTGACAAGTTTTATTAAGTTTATTTTATATATTTTCGCATTTGTGTGTGTGTCTGTGGGGGGGGGGAGCGGTGCCACAAACTTGTCGGCTTACATTTTGTGTGTGTTGGTTGCAACTTTGATAAAATCAAATGTGCATGCTGTAAATAGAAGCGATATGGGATAAAGGGTTGCGGGTTGGGGTATGGTGTACGGGGTGGCATGTCAGGCACGCTCTTATGTGGCAGGTTGCACACACTTGACTGCTCAATGGCCTTTGCAAAGCTGAGGCTGCCCGGATGTTGGACAATGGTCACTTAAAGCAGCAAACCGTGCATACTCGTAAAACGTTTAAGCGAACCCAAACTGTAAAAAAAAGGGTAATAAGAGACAGAGGGAAAGAGAGAGAGAGAGAGAGAGAGACAGAGATCGAGTGAAAGAGAGAGAAGAGGATTGAAGAGTACAATGTAAAAGGAGTGACAGGTAATACATATCCTCGAGGGCAGCTCGGGTGTGTAAAATATTTAAGTGCCTTCAGTTGCTGTCATACTTTTTTAATTGACTTATTAATAATTCATGGGGATCAACGCACACACACACACACACATATATAAACAAATAAAAAAAGAGACGAGGGCATATGCCTCACATTCATAAATACAAATGTACTCAGTGGCAAGAGTGCGATTGCGAACAAGTGCGATTGGTGAGACAAGTGCGAGAGTTTTTCAGGTCGACGACTTGCCTTGGAATATGTGAACATGCATGTGTGCCCGCCAGGTGGCGCCAGCTCTGTGTCCATTGTACACAGTGAAAATAAAGTCGAGCATTAATATTATATATATTTATATCATATTAGAGCCTTAATATAAAATCTATCTAATATGATTAATCTACAAAGTCATAATGAAAAATATGAGAAAACAAACAAAATATCTTCAAGTCTGAACTTTAGTGTATTTCAAAGTAATCTTGTTTTGAATTGTAGCTTATTATGCTTCATATCTCTAATGTCCTTTGTATTAAATGCTGTCATAAAACTGTTACATTTTCTACTCTATTTAGCCTGTCGTTTTTTCATTGTTATTTATTGACACTTGAATAGATATTAGAAGTCCAAGAAAAACTGAGTTGATTCATTCGATTAATTTTGCGCAGTGCACTTTTAGCACAATGGTCTGTTTGGTTGTATATATTTAATTTGATTCATTTGTAGGAGCAGTTAAATTATTCGGTTATTTCGTAGGAATTCTGCAAATATATTTATCATTTTCGTGTTCATCTTTATCTTGTTTGCTTCACATTCGCCAATTTGAACTGCAGCCCAAAGTGGGGTTACGTGATTGATGCATTTTTAATGCGCATTTTGGTACTGCAGTTAAATGCATTTCACTAAGGGCTTACAGGGAAGTGAAGTGAAGGGGTGTGACTGCAGACAGGGAATTGGGCCAACAGTTGGAGTAGTTATAGTTGTTGCTGCTGCTGCTGTGAATTCGTTTGAAAAATGCAATTGTGCTAAGAGCACCATTAAAAGCCTTTAAATAAATTTAGTTGACGTCTCGAGCGCATCACATCATAAATATATTTTAACTGGAACTAAATCAGGGCAAAGGTTGACACCGAGCGGGAACAAAAGAACCGCAGTGGAATATTACGTATATATGCAGCAAGGATAAAATCAAATTTAACGCATCGCCTGCATTTGTGCAAAGAGTGCCCAAGGAGAGGAGAGTCTTGAATGCTTCGCAGCTCGCTGAATGCTTTGCGGCTTCTTAAAGAAAGGCCACGTAGCACTTGACATGAGCAGAGACAAACACACCCACACACACATAAACATACACACACACACATATGCCCATTCTCTCTCTCTCTCTCTCTCTCCCTTTCTCTTTCCCTCAGAGGGGGGTTTAAGTGAGATTTAGGACGGGGGGTTGCGTTTTGGGCACGTGCCTTTGGATTACGCGCGGCTGCTCTCTGTGGGATGCCGTCGCTGTACGAAAAAGAAGCAGCGTGAAAAATGTGTAGCATAAGACACGGCGCATAATCAAAAGTAAAGCAAGCGGAGGATAGCCCTCCTTCCCACCCCCTCTCCCTCATCAGCAGCTGCTTTTGGATTGGGGGTTTTGAGAGAGGGTTTGGTTATGCTGCTTGTGCTGCTACTGCTCCTGCTGCTGCATTTGGCTTTATATCACTAAATTTCATCCCCACTGAAAGAAAAGTACAGAAAATAAAAGAAAGAAAAACCCAGCAGAAACAAAAGCCAAGCCACAAAAATCTCACGCCCGAACTGCGAGTTGATGTAGCGCGCGCAGCTCCACACATGAAAAGTGGCAAGTGACATTGGAATTGGGACTGTGGGCTTGGGCTGCATGCGGTAAGTGTTTGGTATATGTATGTGTGTGTGTGGGTGTATGTGTGTGTATGTTTGTGTGCGTCAAAATACACTCACTTGACATATCGATCATAAATCTGTTTACTTGCGGTTTATTATCTGCACTTGGCATTTTCCAAGACAACTCAAATGTTGGCAAAAGAAAAGTGCACAGATTAACGAGCCAGGATACACATATTATATATATATATATATATATATATATATCAGCTACCACTTATATATATATGCGCTTCAAATTTATTTTTGAACTTGATATTTTAAAATGTAATCATTTAATCTAATACATTTATATTATGATATAAAGTATACAATTATTATTTTGAACTTATTAGTTGCAGATTATTTCAGGGATTAAATCTCAATTTAGTATGCAAATTTTCATTGCATATTAGACTTTAAAGATGACAAAGATAATATTTTAATTAATAAAATAATATTTGGAAATTTTGTCAAGAAACTTAACATAAATATTTCCTAACTATACTGAAAATTGAGCTCCGATTTTAATTGTTCGTCTGCTTGCTAATAGGGAGCTCAACTTAAGCTTGGCTTACAAATATTCTTAAATCAGAAGAGCTTTCTCTTTTGTATCGTTTCTATCTATATTTGTGTACCACAAATGCAAAAGGAAAATAAATCGATGAAGTTCCTATTCGATTAACAGACAGAACTTTGAGTTTAAGTAACTTGTTCTTGCTGTCAATTGAACTTATTATTTCTCATCGCTCGGGAACTGTTCGAATTATATTTTTTGATGAGTTCCGGCGATTCCATAGTGCGACACTTGGTCACAAATCGATTATACTGATGATTTTGTTTGCAAGGTGTTTGCATGTTTCTCTCTCAGTTTGCTTTCTTCCAATTCCCCAAGCTGACTGTTTTCTGTTCTGACTTCAAAAAATAAACGAAGAAAAAGTATCGATTGGCACTCACCTCTTCCTCATTGCTGGCCGTATTTACGGAGTCCATGCTCTGTGAGAGTCCCAGCGGTGCGAGCGCCATCTGATTTTCCATTATGCTGGCGTCTCTGCTGTTGTTTCCCGTTGCTGTTGTTCCCGCTGTTGCTGCTGCAGTTGCTGCTACTGTTGTTGCTGTTGTTGTTGTGTTGTTGTTGTTATCGCTGGCGACGGTTGCACTGACGCTGCCTGCCGGCGAGGGAGTTGTTGGCGCCGAAATTGACGCGGATTCGTGCGTGGAACTGCCTGGGGAGTTACTGTTGTTGTTGTTGTTGTTGGTGGTTGCAACTGTTGCTGCTGTGGCAACGCTTAGTGCAGTGGTTGCCGCTGCTGCCGGGCTGCTGCTACTGGCAATAACAGCTACTGTTGCTGGTGTGCTATTGCTGCAGCTGCTGTGTTGCTGTTGATGTTTATTGCTGCTGCTGTTGCTGAGCACTAAATGTTGCTGTGGGGCGTAGTGCCGCAGCTGATAGCCGCTGTAATGGGCAGGCTGCTGTTGCTGCTGCTGCTGCTGCTGTTGGTGCAGCACTGCCACGTGCTGTTGCTGCTGCTGATGCTGATGCGCTGCGGCAGCTGCAACGGCTGAGTGCTGTAGATGCTGATTGAGCAGAGCAGCGGCGGCAGCCGCCTGATTAAATTGAACCAAACGCTGCTGTTGCTGCTGCTGTTGATGATGGTGGTTGGCCTGTTGCTGTGAGGCAGCAACTGCGTAGGCGACTTGTTGCTGTTGTTGTTGCTGCTGTTGCTGCTGTTGTTGCTGATGATGGGCAGCAACTGCGGCTGCAAACTGTGTGGGATGTGCAAAGCTCAGCTGATGACCCTTTAATGCAGCTGCTGCTGCTGCTGCTGCTGCGGCGGCTGCTGCTGCGGCTGCTGCCGGTGAACTGGCGTATTGCAGATGGGCGGCGGGCGCTGAGACTGCTGCTGCTGCAGCTGTGGGCACGGGCAGCACCGAAACGGCGGCGGCGCACTGGCGCTTGGGCGACGGCGACAACACCTGTGGGGCACTCGCTGGCGTTTGCGGCAGCGTCGGCCTGCGTTTAATCGCAATCGACGAAATGGTGATGGCTTTTTCAAACACTTCCCGCTGGTGGTGTTGTGTGTTAATATTTATATTGCTGTGGGTGTTTGTGTTGTTGTTGTTGTTGTGGTTACTGTGGTTGTTGCTGGGTATTATGGATGTTGTTGTTGTTGCTGAAGTCGGCGTCGTCGTCGTCGTAGTCACTGCGGGCAGCAGTTGCAGTTGATTCGGTTCGGCGATGTGGAGCAGATGGTGATGGCTGCCCAACAGGTTCTGTTTCTGATAGTTGGCTATGTTGGCGACTCAGTTAACCTACAAAAAAACAAAAAGAAGCAAACAAAACAGAAAACATCGGTTAGTGTTGGCTGCTGCACAAATATTTGAATTGCTCTCGCATCAATATGGTTGGTGAAAATATTTGTGTAAAATATGCAAATACCATTTCAATATTGTCAAAATACTAGCGAGTTTCAACATTTCAATTCAACATAATGCAAATGTTTGTATGATATTTGGCGTGGGTGAAGGCAGTGTCTGCAAAACACTGCATAATTCAAGAGCAAACATGACGACAACTCAATAGAAAATAATACACAGTAAGCGAAATTCGAGCATTTCAACTTGACGTCATGTGGAACAAAGGCGCGCAAAGAAAAAACAAAACAAAAAACGACAGATAAACTTTATTTATGTAAGATGTGCTAAAATTTCATCAGGTTTATCCTACTTAATTTGAGACGTCAGTTTTGTAGATAACGTCACTACTAGTAGGATGTCAGTTTGCCATACTGACATGGAATAGCAAATATATTTTAAAGCAATATATTTATAAAAAAATTTCTTCATTTTATTTAAATTAAATTCTTAATTATTTTGTAATACAACTTGATTGAGTTGTACAGAAATATTCCAAAAACTGTAATGGAGAAAAATTGTTCTTCCACTTTCAGTTAAGCACTTTATTCAGTTAGGCATTTTTGCAAGCCAGCTGAAGCCCTTTGCCATATGAATAGACTAAAATAAAGTGCTATTGTGTAAAATAAAAGACGAGCTTCTGACTGAACAAAGAATGCGCCTTGTGCCATTTAGCTTAGATAGGCAAGCGATAAAGAGGAGTCTCATTGAAAATGAACAACTCAAAAAGAAAAAAGAAAAAGAAAAAAGAAACAACATGCAAATTGTGTAGGTCAGTCACAGACAAAAGTGGACGCTAGTCGCATTTCTTGCTGTGTATTTATATTTTGCTTGCGTGTATTTCGGTTTCGGTTATCGCCAAGAGCCCATCGATAGACACACAGACAGACAGACACAGCTGCTGGGAACTCCATTGCGCAGTCTAGAAAAGAATCTGACTAAAGCCGAATGTGAATAAAAGCAACAGCGACCGCAAAGCAAATAAGCAAACGAAAACACAGAGAAAACAGAGTATTCACTCTCTCAAACACACACACACACATACAAACACACACACACACACATTTGCGTAACAACTTGAAAATTGAGCTGACAAGCAAACCGAAATTGTATTACAAACGAGTGGACCAAAAATATGCACATAACTAAAGCCGAGATCTCAAAGATACATTTATACATATATGAGTATGAGTACGTTATACGTATGTACTGCGATATATGCACATATTTGACTACAATACAGCAAACAGGGCTATGAATGCGGATTATAATGGCGCCAGGGAAAGCATCGAACCAGCAAAGTATCCCAGCACAAACAACACACGGAATTTGTCGCCCATCGACGCCTGAGTATCTATGGCTGTATCTGTATCTATCCAGATACGCACACTTTGCATATGACAAATTATGCAGACAATGAACGAGACTGGATTAGGGGGATGGGCGGGTTGAATATTTAAGAATCCACTGCTCCTCGATTCCAGTAGCTATAGCGTTTAAGGACAAGCTTGCTATTGTATCTGTGGTGCGGTGGTGGGTTGGTAACACTTGAGTTAATTACGCACAACGCTTGCTAATCATAATTTAAATTTAATATCGATCAGCAGTTTGGGTTGGGTTGACTTTGTGGGCATACCGCGATGGCAACTGCTCTAATCCCACATGATTTATAATTAATATAATTGCAAAAGCCACCACCAAAAAGCCACACAGCGATACTTTTATTATTTATATATATATATATATATATATACATTTATTTATTTATTTATGGCTAATATTCAAATAGGCCATTGTGCCATCGACGCGCTTTAGAATTTTTTTCAAAATGCGGCTAATTTTGAATTGGCCAACAATACATATGCGAAATGCAAATTATATAATACTCGCTCAACATAAATTTCAGTAGCGAAATATCATTGATTTTAATGCCATGCAATTAACTATGGCAATACATAGCTTATATATTTTGGAGCAGTAAATAAAATGATCTAAAATGCGCCTGTATTCAATTGTAACAATTAACCTATGAAATGCAATTTTATTTGTTTTCGATATAATGCAAAACCAGGGAGACCAAAACAAGGGAGAAAACAATTAAATCTATTTTAATCTGTTTATGAAAGCAATGTTTTAAGCTAGATCAGCTCAAAAACATTATGGTCCAATTAATTAATAGATTGGTGCTGGACATATGTTTGGAAATCGTTAAAGAATATACTATGATAATTTTAAACTTGAGAAGCCAGCAATTGTAAAAGAAAACTTGATTTTCATACATTCAAAGAAAAAAATAAAAGTGAATATATAATTTATGTTTGCAATTTTTTTCTTACTCAAGTTCCAATTAAAAAATTCATTAAATTATACTGATATATATATATACATAAGTATTTATTAATGAATGACCATATTGAAAATTATGGCGACTAAAATAAAAAACAAATCCCTCGATTTGATATTCTGCCTGATTCCATGCAATCTGACCTTCGACATTTTAAGTTGCCATTAAATATATAATAATTCAATCGAAAATAAATTTCAGTCATATTCAAAACGTAAGCGCTATTTTGTAATAGTTTTTTTTTCGTATGTATATTGTCATTAGATTTATGCATCCACAACAAAGCAACATTTAATAGTTTTTATTCATTTTGGTAATTTCCACTGCTTGAATCAATTTTTAATTATTAGCTCACTGGCATTAAATATAAAAATGTGATCATACTCACTACTTTGTGATCAGATCAATTTCTAATTTCTATTAATACTCTATACACTCTATTAACAATACTCTCGCATTGAATGTGAATGCGAGACAAGATGCAGAAAACAATCAGATTATTGATATTTGTATTTTCTTGTCAATAATAGAATATTTTTCCACTGCCAATTTGTGAAGTTTATTTTTTGCACACTTTTTCAATGTCGGGTTATGTTTGTGTGTGATGCGAAATATTCACAGCAGCGATAGAGCAACAAATACACTTCTTGCCATGGCATCGCATCAACAACAATTGCGTTACAAATTCTAACAAACAAAAGCTCCGACAGCAACCATAATGACGCTGCTATTGCTATTGTTGCTTGTCGCTGGGCTGCTGGGCATGGAAATTACTCAGTAAAAATTCTAAAGTATAGCGCTACAAACGTATATAGAAACAGCAACCACAACAACAAAAACTAGTCATAAATATTGCTAATGAATTTCCCGCACGCTTTGCTGAGCTCACAACAAAATCGCGTCTCTCTAATCGACTTCCATTTTGCATTGTTTTTGCTTTTGCTTTTTCTGTTCCTTCTTTATTTATATATATATATATACATATATATATATATATATACGTATATTTTTTCCTCACATGTGTTTTTAAGCACATAACCACTGAAACGGAAGTTGGGTGCGTTTTTTGTTGAGGCTGCCACAACACAAATATAATTAAATGTAATTTTTATAATGACAAATGTTGTTGATACAAGCCCAAGCTGAAACACAAACCGTAGCCGAAACCACGCCTCAATAAGCGCTGAAATAAATGTGAACAAAAAAAGATACATTTCAAATGGAAGCACAACTCACAAAAGCAATTTTCTATTGCTCGCTCTCGATTTGAACTTTGAAGTTGGCCCGAAATTTAAATTTCCAAGTTCAGTTTTACTTTGTATCTTTTTGTTGTTGTTGTGTTTCTGTTTTAGGGCTACAATCAAGTTAACATAATTACCACACGATTCCTGTGTCTTAAAAATGGGTCAATTGGGCATGCCACGCCTTAAGCTGCGCCGATTTCATGCAAATTGTCTGACTGACTAACTGAGACTGTAGCCTAAGCGAACTATTGTAATAGATACAGTCTCTTTTCCTCGAATAGCAACACACGCTAATCGATGCACGCCCACGTTTCCGTCATCATCATCATCATCATCATCATCATTATTGTTAAGGGGCGGAAAACAAGTTTCTCAGCTGTTGCTGCCATAAAAATAAAGATGATTTTGGGTCGCGGATCACTTGACAGCAGACAATTGACAATTGCAATTGCGATTGCAATTGCAACAGCACTAACAACAATTACCATTGCTAATCTCGAAAGATAAACGCAAGTGCAAATAACGAGTTAACGCCCACGTGATCAGCATTAGCTGTTCCCCTTCTCATCCCTCTCACCCCTACCCACGCATCTCATCCTGACACAAAGATACCTTGACTCGCAGATAAGTTTTTTGTATATAGTCATAGGCCCATATATGTTGTCTGGGCTGGTACGAGATGAGCTCTAGAGCTGGAGCATCCGCCCAGTGGCTCCGTGCTTAAAGTGGTTTTAGCCATAAATGTTACGCTGCTGGATGGTTGGCATAGTTGTTATTATTGCTGCGCATCGTCGTATTGTGCTCACTGTTTGGGATCATAATTAATATTTAATAAGCCAGACAACTTTTCTCAAGACTGACTTTGATATGCCCAAGCGGTAGATACGTACAAATATGTATTCATAATACTCTGCTCATAGCCATAAAATGGGCAATAAAACTACTCGAATAAAGTAGTTGGTAAGGCTTAAGAGGTTTTGTTTTTTTTTTTGTCGGCCATGGAATGTTTTCAAAGTTGAACTCTTAAGATAGCAAAAATATAACCTCGATTTAAATAAAATCTCTTTGTTATGTTTATATTGGAGAACATTATCTCTTAACACAACAATCCAAAGCTTAGCCTAATAAATTTTTATTTTTAAATATCTAACAACTTTGCTGAAGCAAATTGCAATGTTTCGGATTTATATTTTGCCATTTTGAATAGAGAATAGAGAATAGAGTAAAATAATATTTTTCGTTATGTGGCACCATTAAAAGCGTATCCCAGATGCGGCTCGTTTGTCGCAATCTTTATTATTCGTTGTTTG